TTTAAAATGAATGATGCGAAGTGTTTTGTGAGTATGCTATCTGAAATTATCACTGTTTATGTATTAGTAAACCGGAAGTTTCTTAGAAGGCAGTAGTACAGGAGTGCACATGTCATATGCCATCAGAGCAATGATGTCATCATGATCCATACACCTTCTGGAAATCTCAAGAGCCATATGTTTTAACAGGAGAAAAAGAAGTCAAATAAAGTGTAAGTATGACTATGAAAATGTTTTTTCTCTTTGCAGAACTTTGAAGAGGCCTCATAGCTCATGAGTTCCTAGAGACACACTTAGAGAGCACTGGTCTGAGAACATTCTCGGCTCTACCCAACAACTGAACTGTAAATTTCACAAGACAGATGCTGTTAGTTGGAAGATTTATTTGTCCGTCCTAAAGACCGTTTTCAGTGCGAAATGGATTGCCATTAACATTACTCCACTTAAACTTTTGAATAAAATAGGCTAAAATTTTAGCCTCATTTGGCCTCTACTTACTCTTACGGAGATATGCATTAACATTAAAGTTAAGTTTCTTTTAATAATGTCAATAGGACATACCAAGACATGAATAATTTCATTATCTATTAATATTTACAGACTCTTGATCTAGAAATGTAGCCCAGTAGTAGAGCACTTACTTAGCTGGGGCATACAAAGCACTAGGTTCAAGCTCTACCACAGAGAAAGAAAAAAAGAAGAAAGGCTTATAGTAATCTGCCATGATGAAATATAGGCATAACTATACCCACCCCCAAAATAAATGGAGTTCAGTTGCTTCAGCATAAGACAACTAATTATGTTTTTATATTTTTTGTCAATAAATGAGTACATTTCACAATCTTAAGAAAAACATTATACTTGGTTACCTATGAAGTAAAATTAATTTTATTAATATCCAGGTCAGGAAAATGATTCGACATATTCTGAGGTGGGAAGGGGACTGCACAGCACACAAATCATTAATGTTAACTAGAGACAAGTTCACACTAGTTTGTCAAATGTATATTAGCATCAGTATCAAGTTCACAATGAATGAAATACTGGAGTTTCCTCTGCAAGAATTAAAATTTTTACAACCGTGTGCATGCACACATAGTGATTGTGCATATGTATGTATAAGTGAGATACAGCAAAAAAAAAAAATCTTCGAATGCCCTTATATTTGAGTGCTTTTGTTTTTATGATAAACTCAGGCATTCATTAAGCAAATGCACTTGCATGAAATAAAAGGACACAAATGCAACATGATCTGAGAATACACACGCCCTAAAAGGCAAACAAGGGTAAGTTACAAAGCAGCTTCAGTCCACCCTAAGTGAGCAAATGCTTGTTTTGAATGTAATGCAAATCCAAGGAATCAAGGGCAAAAGAGCCATTTGTGAAACTTAGGGAAAGCCAGCTGCCTTTCCTCCCAAGCTCTCTCTTTGGCCCCACTCACACTGGGGTAAACTAAAGCATGTCAATATTTCTCGAAATCAGTGCATGATCCTAAATACAAAAATCACAATCCATTTCCTCGCTGATTTCCGAAGCAAAAGGCCCTGTTTTTTTAACAGTAACAGTCCTTTTCATTTGGCAGCCCTTTTCCGAGAGTTTCCACCAAACTGTAAAGTGGCCCAGATCAAATCTGAAAAACAATTCAATGTGACATTATGATTTGACGAACCTCAACCATTGTGATCTTACCATCTTTTTAAATCTACTACTTATGATTTCCTTGGCTATAGCTCTTTGTGAATCAAAGGTAAATTAAGTCCATAAAAATGTTGCCTGTTGCTGAATACTAGAAACAATGCCAGGCACAAGAGCTGGAGCCAGTGAGTCCCACACTGGCCGTTACTCCCTGGGGGAGGGGGGGGGGGATCTGCAAACGGCAAGGAGGATATTATTAAGGAAATTACTTGAGAAAACTTTCCATTCATATTTTTGAGCAGGCAGGGCTCTCAATCTGAAGCCTAATCATCACACTATGCATCCTAAACTGAGACATCAAAATCATTTCCCCAGCTGACAAATTACAGGCTGACTTATCACTCTTCTGGCCAGGGATGCCTGATGCAGCCCAACATCTCTATCTCAAAAACTTAAATAGTTCACATAAACCTTTGTACTCATCATTCCTCCTACTCCAGGTTTACCGAAGTAGTCCACTCAACCATGCACCCCAGAGCAGCCCATTGTTGAGTATTTAGTGATTAAACAAGTGCTACGGAATGGCATTCAAATACTCTTTGACATATTCACCTTCAGACAGCACAATACATCGACAGACTCAATCTGAATGACATCAGGACCTGTGGAATGTATGACTGCTAAGAAACACATGCTGCTAAGGAACAGAGAACAGATCTGATGGGATCTCCCAGCACCAAGCCTACAGAGCACTTTGGTGAGAGCAGCTGGAAGGGGAGGGAAGCACTCTTCAGTCCTCAGAAATGTTTGCAAGTACGGGGGAGACTTTCACACAAACCCTCCAGAAAGGAAAAAAAAAAAAAAAAACCATAGGACAAAAAAATTCTAGGGGGTTAGGCCATAACTCTCTAAGTTCCAAATTATGGTCAGGGTCACTTACAATATCTCTCATAAAACGTAACTTATTCAAATTAGGCATCAATGGATGATTCAGGACTTGTCCTTTGAAACCTTTGCTTTGTGAAGTGATCAAAACCTTAATAAAAGTGTACTTAAAAATAAAATACTCATTTACTAAGACGTATTCTTTAAAATAAACTAGATCCTAGCCATTTTCAATAAACATCAAAGTAGTCAGGAGTAATATACAACTAGGTCATGCAGTAGGTTTTAATTATTGTATTTTAAAAGTAGTCGTCTTTGCAAGCATAAGTCTATTAAAATGTGTTTATCTCTGTACATCTGGTACCCATCCTCCCGTTACTTAAAGAGAGATTAAGAAAACACACAGAGAACAACGCTGAGAGATATTTCAGCACAAACATCCTCTCGATTCCTACAGAAATTATCTGATATCCTCTGTGGGTGATACTGGAAAACAACTGGCCATTCTACTTGTAATCCCAATACAGATAAATTGGGCGCCAGAACTGCTGATCACTTAGTACTATTCCAGACTGAAAAAATGAATTAGCAAACTGGCTAACCTCTGCTATCTCGTGGGCAAATGCAGCTGACTTTCCCAACACAAAATCACTCAAGTGTTTCCTTGCAGATTCTTTAACGACGGCATTCTTTAACTAGCGACGACAGCCCATATGACACCAACATAAGCGGACCTCCTATTTACTTCAGAGCAAAGCACAAGAGGCATTTTTTCCTTCCTGTCTCCCCATTTCCCCAGCAGCTGGCTGCAAAGATGTAAAATCAGAGGGGCAAACAGCCTTATACTTCCTAATGAGTAATTCGCCCAGGAAAGTAAACACACCAGACACCAGCAGCAGGTTAGGCTCTGAGGGAGACAGTAGCAAAGATGCTTACACTGTTGTTTACAATGTTCTCTAACTACTGCAGTCAGGGACCACAGGAGCCTCGGGGAGGAGACACCCGGGAGGTGGCTCCCAAGCCTCCAGTTCGCCCAAGTGCTCTATCGCTGGTCATCAATAAAAGCAACACACGTTTCTATCCGGGCGGAGAAAGTGGCCAGATAATTCCAAAGACCAGGGATTCTGCAGGATACACTTGATTACTGCAAATCTGCAAGAGGTGACTGCTCCAGCAGGTCCTCCTCAAGGCCAATCTGGAGTAGAGGGAGCGCTGCACCAGCGACTCCAAGCACTGTACACATCTCCAGGGAAGAGGGAACCTGCCGCCAGGCTTCCTCGCAACCCTACCAGGGGCCCTCTGGGCCTCCTCAAACCAGATTTTCCAGCTAAGCGGATCCCAAGCGATTTCTATGAATAAGCTCCACTCAAGTAGCTCCAGGTCTCCCATCCCTGCGAAGGTCTCCTCCCGCCACCCCAAACGCGCAGGCTCCTATACACACAGATAACATGCACGCCGGCCCCTGGCCACTACCCCTACAAACACAGGGCTGCACGGCTGGACATCTGGTATGCTCAACCGCCACCTCCCGGGTAGAACCAGAGGCTGGGTAGTGCTGCTCCCCATGCTCCGCTTCAGCCCAGAGACTGTCCATCTCCCAAGCGAAGCACCGAGATGCCCACTCCTCTACCTGTAACCCGCCACTAGGGCCACCACTACTCTGCCCACCGCACCCTGGCGCCTCGGACGCCCCGACCATTGAACACCCTCTCTACAGTGGGTGCTCACTCCCAGCACAGCTCAACCCCCGGGCCAGCCACCAAAGTGGTAGCTTTCTCCAACCACAATCGCCCAACAAAGCCTAGGCACTCAGGTCCAAACCAAACTGCCGTGAAGGGGACACACAAGAGGGGAGACGCGAGAGGGGGCAACGCGGTTCCACTTCTCAGGGGCGCGACCTGGGCAAGCTCGGCCACCTTGGATGCTCCCAGGCAGGCGTCCAGGGAGGATCACACCAGGCTCACCACCCTGCATTCGCCATCACCCCAGACTGAGCTCCTCACCGGGTCCCTGTTCGTCCTCCAACCCGTTCCCACCTCCAGTGTTACTCCAGCCTAGCGGAGAAAAGGCGCCCCCTCGGCTGATTCCTGCCCCTACCAAAGGACAACACTGGGGGGACGAGGGAGGGAAAATGTTCCGGGTGGGATTCGTTCCTGTCACCCGGCGAGTGCGACTGCCAGTGCGCGGGTTTTCCCTCTCCCCTACATCTCCCTCGGTCACCACATCGCCCAGTAGCCGGTAGAACCTCGAACCCGTGCCAACCCCCAGCGCCCACCAGCCAGGAGGCTCCCTTCCCGCTCCACATCACGATGAGATGAGTGTGCGCGTGAGGGCGAGTGTGCGAAGGCGAATGTGTGAGTGGAAGGGTGAGTGTACGTGAACCCCGCACCCCCCTCGGTTGGTTGCCCGCCCAGCGGATGCCGCCGCCTGCGCCCGAGCAGGGGCGACCACTGTTATGAAGAGTGCAAAGAATAAATTACCTTTCGTAACCGCCGGTCCCTGAGATGGTCCCATCAGTTGCTCAACAACCTGCAACCCGGTGCAGTTTTCCACAATCCATCCATTGAGCCCCGGGGCAAAAAAGAAAAAAAAAAGAAAGAAAGAAAAAAAAAAAAAAGCTGGACCGGCCCCAGTGTAGACACCCCAGCCACACCAAGCAAAAAAAAAAAATGATGATCAAAACGCAAGAGACGGCAGGAGGGTGGAGACCCCAGTCCAAGAAACAACAAAAAGTGTCTCTTTCCTTTCTTCTTCTACACAGCCATGGAGAAAGGGGAAGCCGGGAAAACCAAATGCTAGTCTTCCTTTACGTTTCCTCGCTTCACACGCCCCGGGGAGGGGGGGGGGCGCAAAAGCGGAGCAAAGAGAAGGAGGGTTCAAATGTCTCTCCCAGGGCACAGTTGCACAACTTCGGAGTCAGGCTGTGTGTCTTCGGCTGCAGCCCGCGGACCCGAGCGGGAGCTATTAACATGCGGCAGTCATAAGCTGAGGCTGCCTTGCCTTCTCTCGCTGCCGCTGCCGCTGCCGCCGCCGCCGCCGCCGCCGCCGCAAGAAAAGCCGCTGCTGAGGAGACCAAAAATCTTCCACCATCCCCCCCCCAAGCCGATCTTTATATCCAGTTCTCCCACCCCACCCCCCGTCTCTTTCTTTTTCTTCTTCTTCCTCGTCCTCCCCTTTCCGCCTCCGAGCGGGAGGGAGGGGATAGGTAGGGGCAGCGGCGAGGACCAGCAGTGGCTTCTCCGCCCAGCCCTCTTCGCCGTCCTCCTCCTGCTGGCCCCCGAGGTGCTCCGGCTGTCGCCGAGGGTCCGCTCGGCCGCCCGCAAAGCCGCTCCGAGAGCCCAGGAGCCCAGCCGCGCCAACTCCTTCCCCGGTGTGCACGGCGTGGAGGCGCGGGCAGAGCGGGCGCCGGGCCCCGCTGGAGGGCTGCGTGCCTGCCGGGGGTGGCGAGCCCCGAGCTCCGGTGGTGGCGGATCAGCTCGCCGGCGGGGCCGGGGAGCTGCGGGCATGCGGGAGCTTCATCGCGGGGCCCGGGCTCCGAGCCGCCGCCGTCACCGCCAACCGCCGGGGCCGCCGGCTTCGGTTCTTTTTTTTTTTTTTTTCTCTCTCTCTCTCTCTTTCTCTCTCTTCTGGACTCCCCCCACCACCCCCTCGGAGGAGCCACTGAGGAGGCTCGGGGTGCCCTCCAGACACGCACACGCTTGTCCCCCCGCGGCGCGCACACACCACCCGGGCGAGCGAGCTCCTGCCCAACAGCACACACCGTGCAGCCCGCGCGCGCACACCCGGGAGGAAGAGGACCGAGGCCAACCAAATAAATAAATAAATAAAAGAGAGGAGAGAGAAGAAAGAGAGGGGAGCGGGGCGCGGGGGGGGGGGGGGGAGCGGGGGGGGGGCGAGAGTCACAGGCGGTGGCGGCGGCAGCAGCAGCTGCGGGAGCGGAGGCAGCGCGCAGTCCGCGAGATGCCAGCGGCGGCGGTGGTGGCGGCGGCGCCCTCCCGGCCCGGCCGTGCCATCTGCATCCCCGCTCCTGGGAACTGGGAGCGAGCGCGCCGCGGGCCGAGCAGGCTCGTGGGGGCGACGCGCCCCGCCGTCAGGCACGGGTGCGAGCGGCGGCCAAGGCAGCCGAGGCCGGAGTGAGCCACCACCGGCGGCGGGGCGACGACGGGCGCGAGAGCTCCCAGGACCGGGGAGGGGGGCTCTCCAGCCGGAGAAAGGGGTGGCCGGCAAAACCCGGATCTGGAGTCCGCCGGGGCTCCGCGGGCGCGGGCTCCACCTAGCCGCTCCGCAGATGCTTGGAGGTGGGAACCGCGGGGCGGCTACAGGAGGCTTCCCTGGCAGGGTTTGTCAGACAAAGGGTACCTCTCTCCTGGCTAGGAGCATGTCTCTATCTCTCTCTCTCTCTCTCCTTTCTCTCTTTCTGCACTCTCCTTTTCCTCTCCCCCCATTCTCTCTCTCTCTCCACTCTTATCTCTTCACTCTCCCCCGCCTCCCTCCTGCTCTCTTGTCTTCCTCCCCCCACTCAGCTGGAGGTGACTGAGGTACCAGGCTGGGAGTTCTGCCAGTGTCTTTTTTACAGGTGCAGATTACTCCACGTGGTCCTTATGCGGGTGCCTACTTCTAAAGCATTTCCTGCCTTTGGTCCATTTTATGTTCCTTCAAACTTACCTCAGTGTACAAGTTCACGGCAGTACTGAAAGCATCTTTCTCCGAAAAAAATGGAGCATGGGAATTCAATGGTTTTTATTTCTTGATATCAGTAAATATTACCATAAAACATATAGAAAACTGTCTTGACTCTAACTCCATGCTTTCTGCTGTGGTAAAGTTTGCTCAGGTGACCTTTCTCAACTATTGCACCTCTTTGAGATGATTTGTAAATGAAATGGCTAAGCGTATCATTGTTTCCTTTTTTCTGCAATAAAATTTCATTACTTCAAATGACTAAGGAGGCGTTTTCTATATCAGTATACTCTAGTAATTGAGATTTATTGTATGAACCCAACAAGTACAATGCATCCCTACTCAAGTCTCGGAAGTGGCATGAGGTTGTATAACTTCAAAACGATCTAACATCCTATGAGAATCCATAACTTCATAAATTCATAACTTCAACCCCAGCACATCTGTAGAATCTAAAGTTCATCATAATTAGGTGATCGTCCCCACCACAAGTGATTATCAGAATTGCATTCATTCTTCAAAGCTCAAATCACAAGAAGCCTTTTCTTATCTATCCCAAGGTGAGAAAATAAGTTCTTGTAACGTATGACATGTGACACACACACACAGCATCCATTATCTTCTCTGTTGAGATTGGAATACTAAGTGTCCACCAAAGGTCTTTATGTTAAAGTCTGGTCCCCAGCCACTGTTGCTATTGAGAGGCAGGAGAACTTTTAAGAGGTTGGGCCTGCTATAAGGATGTTCGAACCAGAGGGTGTGACTTTGGAGAGGATTTAGGGATTCCCCCCCACACACACACACCTCGACTTCTGCTTCCCAGTCACTGTGAGATGAACAGCTTTGCTTCGCCACACAAGCACAAGTATTGTTCTGTACCATAGATACCAAAACCAACAGAACCAATTAAACACGGACTGAGGCCTCAGACTCTAAGCCAAAGTAAACCTTCCCTCCCATGAGGTTGCTTTTCTAGGTATGTTGTCACAGGAACAAAAGAGTGACTAGCTTCCACAGCCCTACCTCTACCACAGTGCCTAGTTCATTCTGCTTATCTCTGGCTCTTTTTACATAATGAGCTGCTTGTCCCTATATCCTCTCAGATTATAAAGAGCTATCTTCAAGGGAAACTCCAAGTTTTAGTTTTCTGTATTAGAAAAAAAAATAACTGTATCCATAGTTCTTTGCATATATAATAATTCCTTTGGGTGGGGGAATAGAAAGCCAAAGATATTTAATGGCTGAATTCTAACGAAGTAGATTTTCATAGACTCAAGTATGACTGCTTGAATTTCCTTAATACAGGACAGCTACAAGCTCCCATGAGTAATTAAATAAAAATTGACATCTGGATTCACTTTTAACTTAAACAAATAACTTCACAAAAAATAAACTAGTAAATTGTGACAAGAGACTCTTAGTTGTAAAGTAGGCAGAATGGAAGCAACTCAGTTTCTATTTACCATATGCTTGATGGGCGTATATAGAAAAGTAAAAGAAGAATATTTTTAGATGTATTAGATATAAAATAAATCAAAGATATTAAATATTATTAGTGAGGACACTAGAAAGTTAAATATAAATAACTCATGGATGTGTAAGTCTGTAAGTAATTTGTTTATCAAAATGTGGAACATCTCACCGGGAAACTAGGGATAGTCCCTTAAATAATTGAAAATTGCTCACCTAAGAGGACTTGACCAAAATTAAACAAAAATTTCAAAGATCATAATAGTGAGGTGGAAAGGAAAAGAGGTGGGTAAAAACGACTGATGGTTTTAAAAGCCATTGAAAAGATGAGAATTGGTTATTTATATAGCTTAACTGTGTGTCAACATTGCAGTGTTTCGTAACAGCTCTCCATATTTTAAGCTCAAACATTATGCTCCTAAGTCACTTTTTTTTTTTTTTTTTTTTTGGTTTTTCGAGACAGGGTTTCTCTGTGTAGCTTTGCGCCTTTCCTGGTACTCGCTTTGGAGACCAGGCTGGCCTCGAACTCACAGAGATCCGCCTGCCTCTGCCTCCCGAGTGCTGGGATTAAAGGCGTGCGCCACCACCGCCCGGCTCTAAGTCACTTTTAATATGATGCGCATAGTCTTTTATGTTTGGTTAAGATGTAAACCTCCACTCAGAACTAGGAAATCTATGATCTTGCCTATATTTTCTCAGGTGAGTTTTCTATGAAAGTAAAGGAAGTTCTGTATCTTTTTTTTCCCTACACAATTGTATTGAACTCCTTGTTGGAGAAAAGACAAAAGCAGATGACTAAGGAGCGCAGACACTTTATACAAAGTAGCTCCAGGCATACTAGAATGGTGCTTTTGAGAAGAAGTTTAATCCAGTACATTAGAAGGAGTTGGCTCTAGTGCCATTTAATCGGAGGAAAATCAGTACTTACCAAATGAAGAGAATCTCAAAATGTTAAAAATCAGAATATCTAACTAAATAGGAAAGGAAAAAAAATAAAATCTTAATAACAATTAAACTCTCCTGACCAAAAGATTCTTGTCAAATCAATAAGCACAATAAAGTACCAAACACCATGAAATTTTATTTAAAACATTGAAAAATGGGTGTATGGAATAGATTCATATTGCCAGTAAACATTAGGATAAAATGCAACATACAAAATTTTGCACCGTGAGGAAGTTGTTGGGTGATGGACTTTTCTGGAGAAAAACCACACACATTTCTACTCACCTCAGAAAGTAAGAACTGCACTAATGTCCAATTTGGTGTCCCCATGAGTATTCATTTGGGGTCTCCAACCGAAGTGTAGGTGAGGGGTTACTAAGAGAACAGCAGGGATAAGTCAAAAGCAACTGTACCCCTGGAAAGCCCACTGGACATGACGCGAGCTCTCTAAGCAGCCTGCAGGCAGCTCCATATCCACAGCATCCTTCCCTTCCTTTTTCAT